TCCCGGTTTCCCCACCTGCCATAAGGGAGATCTGTACGGCCCATGGACAGAAGACAGAGGGCTTCTGCCGAGAGGCACTCGAAAGGTGCAAAGTGCCCATCTCTTCCTGTCAACACCCATTTGGCACCCATGGGATCAGGCCCTTGTCAGCCTGCCAAGGCTGTACAGAGAGCAGCACACTCAGAGATGGGGCAGGAGCTGGTCACACCCACTCCACCCCCTCTCTGCCTCCAGCCTCGGCAGAGAATGGGGTCAGCCACTCACCTCTAGGGTTTCACCACAGCCTCGAAGCTTGGAGCCCAGCTCCTGATAAGGGCCCAGAGCAAGCAGCAAGAAGCAAGCAGGGGCTTCTCCTACAGGATGGGGCCCCTTCCAACCTGCATCACCACCCTATGATGCTAGCACCCAAAATCACTCTGGGAAGGGGCAGGTGGGCAGGACAGCAGGCCAGTGTTGTAGGAGCTAAATCACACAGCTCACAGCATGGCTGGATGATGAAACCGACCCTTAGCACAAAGAAGGGGCCTCCAGGCTGTTTCCTCATCCAGCGGGGAGAGTCAGAGGAGCTCAGTCACCTCTATACAGGATGCTCACTTCTCTGTCAACAGAAATCAGTCTGTTTTATCCTCAGGAGGAAAGCACCGTTTTGGATCTAACCTTCTTAAATGCTTCAAGTCCCAGAGACCTGGTGTTCCAGTGCTGTATAGATCTCTCTTCCTCCTGCCCCTCCCTCCCTGCTGCGTCACCCTCCGCTCTCTTCATCCTTAACAGGAAAGTCTCACTTGGAGATACCACAGGGGACACAAATGTCATGGGGGCTACTCAGGCCAACACTAAGGGGGTGGAGACTTTCAGCTGGCACCACCCGGGGGGATCCTATTTCAGTCCCCAGGGCCAGCTGGACCAAGAAAGGCACAGCCTTTGCCCTTCTGGTGGCCAACATGCCACAATTACAGCCTCTCAGCTTGCCACAGCCTTGGACACGAACTGACACCCCAATCTGGGGGCTCAGAAGAGGCCCCTAATTGCAGAACAGCCCATGTGCACCGATGGTCACAGAGTGGCAGAGACACCACCTGGAGAAGGCTGGGCCAAGGTGTGTCTGGTAAATATCAAAGAGTATGGCAAGAGCAACTGTCACGGCTGTCGCTTTTTAGACAGCATTTCTTCAAGAGTGGCTCAGGGCCCACCTGCATGAAATTCACTAAGGCACTTGTTAAAAGTGTAGATTCTGAGGCTCCAGCCCAGACCTCCCGAAGTAGAATCTCTGGATAGAGCCCAGGAATCTGCATTCTTAACCAGTCTTCACAGTGATCCTCCTGCCCACTAAAATTGAAAACTGCTGCTTAGAGGAAGTCCTGACATTGCCCTAAAAGGCTGTTTATGACAGGGAAGGAAGATGATAAGCTGCAATATCTTCCTATATCTCCCACCTGTCTTATTCCCCAAGCACAAGTCTTTAACTTCATCTGTTCTCTCCTACAGTTGTGTCAGGACTACAGACTGGTCCATGGATCAGAAAGAGAGAATCCAAGCCAGTACCAGGATACAAGGGTTCCAGCAACTTGGCTATGAGCTTCCTGAGCGCCAAAGCCAAAAGGCAATCTGGCTGGTTACACAGTCCATTCATTCAACCTGTACTGGAGGCACAGTATGTATCAGGCACTTTGTTCTATCAATATGTATCAGGCCCCTGTAGCAATATGTATCAATCATATATGTAAAGAAACAGATATGATTCCTATCCTTACCTCCCAGGTCCTGGGGAAGGGGAAGGCTTTTGCTTACATTTAACTTCAATAGAAATTTCTTCACATGGGGTATACAGATTAAATAAATAAACAAGGCAAATGCTGTTAACAGATTTCATAATATTGTTTCCCATAGCACCTCTTAGTAAGGCTAAGCATCCCTTCCCAGTGAAAGCAACTGGAATTCAGATAAACGGTCCAAATAGAGAAAATTCTTATGATGTAAACTGCTCCAAGGATAAATCCTAAACTACGTAGAAAACGTAGAAAAAAGAAAGGACCATTTGCCCTTCAACTGTAGCAATATGGGAAATGGTTTGGATATAAGCAAGAGAGTGGGATATGAAATGTTATGTTCCACGAGGTGAAAATCTATATGCATATGAATAAAGATAAGAAGGGAATCTGAAGATTTAAAAATAAAAGAAGACATAAGGGCTCAGGCTCCTGGGGGAGGGGGTGCTCTTAAATCTTAAAATAACGACTTATCATTGCCATCACCTGGCCCACTAGCTCTGCATCCAAGCCTATTTTAAATGCCTCCTTCAGCCTAGCTGAGAGCTAAGCTTGGAATCACGGGCTCCCTTAAGAGCCTCAACTCCACACCTATTGCTGTTCCAAAGCAAATGGAGTGACATCATGTGACTTTCAGTGACTTTACGCAGACAGACCCGCAGACCAAGACAGTGCTCAACACTCAGCCGCCTTAGCTCTCTACTTTGCCGCACAGCCACCATCATGGGCCCCCCAGGCCACCATGACAAGAAACAACAGCGCAAAAGGATTCCTGTCCAGAGCTGACCCCCCAGAAGACCAGGTGATCTCTCCCCAGGGCTCCTGGGCCACGTCACCACGGGTGGCAAGGAGAAGCGGCCTGACACTCTCTCTTTCACTCTGCAGCACAGAGAACCACAGACGAGAAAGGAACAGGCAGAGAGACTCAGCAAACCCCCTTCAGACCTTCATGGATGACCCTGGTGGGCCCACCACATTCCCAGACACAGAAATCCAACACCTGTGGAGCCCTAGACAGACAGACAGCGATGAGTGAAACCCAGCCCCAGCCGCTGCACCTTTATAAAATATACAGCGTAAACTGAGAGGCTGCAGGAAAGCCACGGCCTTCACTCACTAACCCCACAGGCACTAGCCTAGTGGGCACCCTGGCCCAACCCTCCCTGGGAGCTCAAATCCCCTACACCCACACTTCCAGTGCAACCCCCGGACAACTCCCTCCATCTCCAAGACAACAGCCTCCCACTCTCAATCTCCAAACAGTATTGGCACTTACATATCCCTGACCTCTCTTGTTGGCATCTGTACCTACCAGCCAGGACCAGGCCTCTGTCCCAAAGTTAACCTGGCACATAGGCCACACAACAGAGCCCCAGTTTTGGCATAACCATCTCGAGAAGGGGAGCTGCTGCCTGAAGCATATGATCTTACACAAGAATCTTCTTGAAGAAAAAAAATCAAAGGGAAATAAAACCTCATCCAGTTTGGGCAGGGAAAAAAGATATCAGCTGGGAAAGATGGGACAAGGTTGAAAGAAGGTGAAGCCTGGAAAGGGACCTGACTGCACAGGTTAGGGAAGTTCAGGTAGGTAGGGAAGGAACAGAAAAAGATAGCCTAAGGCAGGCACCTCCACAAAGTCACCACACCAGCTCTCCTCACCCTAGAGTTCAGCTTGCAGCTGTCTCTCCCACCCTCACCCCTGGGTCAAAGGACAGCGGTGAGACCGGGAAAGCAAAGCATTGCATCATTAACTGGAGACACCAGACACCAGCCCGGTTACTGATGCACACGGGCTATGCTGTGTGGGCACGGGGAGGTATCCATTCTCAAACCGTCATCCCTGCCTGCACCCTGCATCCTTGGCCAGAGGATGTCTGCCAAAGAGCCCAACCCACTGCACTGTCCCCCCCTCCCCAAAGGAGGAGGGCATCTGACTGCCCACATATCTCTATGACAATGATCGCTTTCTGACTCAAGGTACCCAGAGAGAAAGAAAACAAACAAATAAGTCAACTTAATAGCCAATGTGGAGTAACAGCAAGAGACAGGGGCTGGAAGGAAGACAGCAAGTCAACCCCTGCTTGTAGGGTTGGACAGCGGTCCTCCCAGCCAGGAGGCAGACACAGCACTGCTAAAGAGGTCCCAGAATAACTGACAAGAAGCCCACTGTCAGTTTATAGCTTCTCCAATGCTCAGAGACATGTATTACATCTCTTAGTCCAGAGACGCCCAGGTCATTCCTAGTCACGGCCCGCATCTTCTCCAGGGCATCCTATTGCCCGGTCTTAACTCTTTTCTGAGTCTTATAACCTCTGTTCCAGGGCTACACCTTGCAGCTCTCGGATGACCTGCCCCATCCACATACCTCCCTACTTGCCACACCTATGAAGAGAACTTCACATTGCTGGCTCTATACCTATCAGATGAGTTGACTTTTGGCAAGCACCCAGCACAAGGTGTAGGGAGAGAAGGTTCAAGGTGTGAGGCACAGGGCCTGACCCTTCCCAGCCCCAGGCACTTGGGAGCATCTCACATGTTAGGCTCTCAGGCCTGGGCCTTCACAGTCTTCAGATCTTGAGGCCCAGCTGCTCGTACTCAGACCAGGCCATTGAGATTTCCAGACCATGAGGCATCACCCTCCACCCAGGACAGACTGCATCTGCTGCTGCACCACCAACTTTGTAATTTGATCAAAAAAGCAATCAAGTTCATCTGGCAGGATCTGTTCCCGAGAAGCCCTCGCCAGTAGCAGCCTCCCTTGATGTTTACAGATTCCCTTCCCTTGGGAGTCTGTTCTGCCGCCTGGTGGGCAGGGGGAGGCTGGGTTTCTCAGAGCTGTTCACTTACTGCATTTCCATCTTAAGTCACCACCGGGGCACAGGGACTAGTGCAAGCCCGGAGTGGCTTCCACGGCCCCAAACACAGAGATTCCAAATGCCCCAAGCGAAGAGCTAGCCACCCACCACTCCCGATATCCTCCCCCTCCATAAAAACCAAACTCCCTTGAGCCTTTAGGGACCACTCCTCCTAGCAGCAATCAACATTTCTCACATCTTCATTCTTTTCTCTCTGTTCCCTGTATAATTCTCTGCCTAGCTTCAAAGGTCACCCACCGTGAAATTCCAACTCTTCTCCAAGAGATAAAGCCACAAGCCCCAACTGCTGGTTCTTCTTCAGAAGAACCCATAGCCCTTGGAGGCACCCCAGGGAGAAACTGAGATGGGGAATACTCACCCCGAGCAGATAACTTCTTGGTATTGATGATTTTTGCTGCATACTCTTGCGTGGACGTTTTCTTCACACACCTGCGGACCACAGAGAAAGCACCCCTGGAGGGAGAAGGGGGAAAGAACTGGGACACGGAGCAGAGCAGAGTGACACAAACACACTTCAGGTCTGAGCACAGCGATGCTCCCATCACCAGACCTTTAGTCAAAATCACACACACACACCAGTGTAGTGACTATTACCATCCAACCTGGGGCAGAGGATGTGGCCTCTGCAGGACGCTCAACAGATGTGGGTGGAGGACCACCCTACTCCCACGCCCACATCTAGTTCTGGGTAAAGCAACAGCCCTAACCTCAGGCTGTGCGTCAAGAGCTGGTGGGAGATGCTTAAAACACACACCTGCTGCATCTCACGAGCAGCCCTGCAGTCCCAGCCAAGAAGACCCGAGAAGGGAAGAGACCCTGCCCTTTTCTCAGCAGGAACAGTTGGCGTAGGGGAAGGAGAGATTAGAAAGAGGCTATGTCTTTCTAATACATGTCTCCCTCAACCATGGGGAGGAAAGTGAGACTCAAATCCCCCCAGCCGGCTTCATCCCACTGCATCCTAGCTCAACTGACAACGGGGAAAGAGAGGATCCAGTTGTGGATCTCAGACATCAACAACTCCCCTTCCCCATCATATTTCCCTCTACACGCCCCCCACCCCTCAATGAGAGCTCGCACGCTCCAGCCCCGGAAACATCTAGGGGGGCGGGCTGGGCGGGGGCTGCAGCGGCCAGGCTCGGCGCCGCGGGTGGGGGTGGGGGGCCGGGGCTGGTGCAGCGGCCAGCTCAGTGCGGAGGGGAGGGGGATGCTGCGGCTGCGGCGCGCGGCTCCCGGGACCACTGCAGGGAACGGGGGAGGGGACGGGGGTGCCGCAGCACTGCCCAGCAGCGGGGCTGGGATCCTGGAAGCGGCACTAGCCGGGGGCGGGGCCGGGTACCAAACATCCCCCACACCCGGGCACCGCAGCAGGGTTGGAGCTGCAGGGCCGGGGAGGGTCCTGAGTCTCAGGCGCGTGGGACATGGGACAGGGTGCTGAGTGAGCTCTTGAACAGAGTGGGGAGGGGGCAGCACACAGGCGGGGTTGGGATTCGGGGGGGCGCCTGAAGGGTGCGGAAGGGGCGGGGCTGGAGGGCGCCCAGGAGCGCTCCGGGGGCTGCAGTCCCCGCGGCAGCGCGGGGTGCAGCAGTCCGGGCAGCTGCTGCAGGGAGCGGAGGGGGCTGCGGGGCAGGGAGCTGGGGGCGAGGGGGCCCCGGGAGGCGGCTGGCGGGAAAGGCTGGGGGTGGGGCGGGCCGAGGGGGCGCTGCAGCGGCCGGTGCAGGGCCGGGGGGCGGGGCGAGGAGCCGCATAGCGCCCGGGCGGCAGGGGCAGGGTGTGGGGGGCCCGGCGGCGGCGGACGAGCCGTACTTGCCGAGCTCCTCGAAGAGCTGGTAGTCGTCGGTGAAGCGGGTGCAGGTGGCGGTGGTGGCCATGCTGGCGGGCGGGCGGACGCGGCGGTGCAGCCCGCGCCGACGTCGGTGCACAGTCACCGCCGCCCGGCCGAGGGAGCAAGAGGAGGAGACGGGGCTGAGCCCGGCAGCACCGCGAGACTTTACCGGGGAGAGCGAGGGAGGGAGGGACACCCCCGCGCCGCCCGCCCGCCCCGCCCCCAGCCCCGCCGGCCCCCCGCCCGGCCCCCGGACCGCCCCGGGGGAGGGGCCTCCCGCCGCCGGCCCCGCCCCGCCCGGGGAGCCGCTGGGGCTGGGCGGAGGCGCCGGGGAGCGAAAGCGGGGGTGGGGGTCTTAGACCCCGGCCACCCGGAGTGGGCTAGAAGGTTCCTGACCTGTGGGCTTGTCCCAGGGCAGACCCTACAAGTGCTCAGGATGTGAGTGCAAGTATGCATGTGTTGGGAATGTGTAGGGGTCTGGACCACTGAGTTCTCTGGCAGAGCTCCACACTCGTGTCCTAAGGCCCGAGTCCGGCTCACACGACGGGAGAGGACCAAGGTCAAAAACGCCCATGTCATTCTGAACACTTGGGAGACGCCCCCAATCTGTGCAGAGCCAGCTCTCAGCAGCCTTCCCTCGGGAAGCTGACAGTCTAGACTTGTGTAAGCGTCAGGGCCATTATTAGACAAAATCCTTCAGGCACGGTTTGTTCAGGGAGACCAGGCCAGGGCGAAAGATGCAGGTGGAACTTTGCCTTCCTGCTCTCCAGCCTTAGAGATGAGAGAATGTTCTCTCTCTGGCCAGCAAAGAAAAGGATGAAGTGGGAACCACTTAGCAATGGCTTAGTGCAGTGTGGTCTAGAAGAACAAGTGGAAGCAAGAAGAAAATAACCCCATTTTCCTTCAGGCACCCTTTGTTTTTATTTATGGCTCATCACATTGTATAATGATGTGTTTACTGGTATGAGAGGCAGCAGACAAGAGCATGGCTGTCTTAAGTGTGAACTCGGGTTAGACTGCTTGACTTGGGTTTCTGGACAACTCACTGACCAGCTATGTGACACTGGGCAAGTCAATTAGTCTATCTGTGCTTCAGTTACCTTATCTGAAAACAGGGAAGAATAATAGTAACTACCTACCTCACAGTTTTGAGTATTAATGGACTAAAGTGCAGAAAGCATTCAGAATAGTAGCTGGTAGCTAAGTAGAGCTGCGTTCGCTGTTTAATATTTGCCTTCCAAGTAAATTGTAATAGGGCAGGGCTGCCTTTGTTCACCTCTCGACTCAGTCTCAGACCCTTAGTAAATATTTGTGGAATGAAGGGACTCCTTGGGATGCTGGCAGAGGGAGTTACCATCTCTTTCTGTGTCTCCACTGTCAGAGGATGGTAGGAACGAGACACATAACTGTCTTGGAGGAAGAGAAACAGGCTGGGCAGGTTCCTGACCTGCCTGGGCAGCCGTACTGCCCAAGTCGAGAGGCCAGCCCCCCCTGGGCCAGGCGGAGCTCAGCCAACTGCTGCTGTAGTCTTGATTACAGCAGGACGCCCACTGGGAGTCAGGCTTCCATTGTCAGCAGGCTAACTCGCCAGCCTGGAGAAGGCAGCTGAGAGGCTGAGAGGTGTCCCAGCCTCCCAGACCTCCTCCCCCAGGGGGTGGGTGGAGCAAAGCTCTCTGGGAGGGCTCCTCTCCTTTCCTTACCCAACAGCCCTTGGAGCTGGTTTGAGAACCAGACTGCCTAGTAGGGGTGATTAAGGGAATAGGAGAGGAAAAGAATTAATAGATTGCCTGGGAGAAGGGCAGAGGGCCAAAGGAAAGGGGTGAGGTGACTGAATATCATGCCCCACCCCTCCCCAGGGCAACAGGAAGTAAGGCGCTGGGGAGTAAGGCCACTTCCTATCTTGAAGCACATGGGTAAGAGCCTGGTTCCAAGTGCCAGTGTGGGGCAGGGCAGTGAGATTGTACACACAGGGATGACAGTAAATCATCCACCTTAAAGGCAGGTGTGCAGGCTAGCCTGCGCTCCAGTAACAAGGCCTGCATAGTGGTTAATCATCAGCGTGTCCTTCCTGAGCTCTCAAGGCAACTTGGTTCCTGACCTCCAGATGCTGGAACTTTTATTCATTACTATAAGGTAGAGTGAGAAGATGGAGGGACATCTTCTCACTTCTTCTCACAGAGCAAGCACAGATCAGGGCTTCTAAGGAGGCCCCTAGGGTATCCCAGGGGAAAACAGAAAACCAGGATTACAAACCTGACCTGTTTTCCACAGAGGGTGAGAGATCTACTACTTCACTTCTCCCTCCCTCCCTCACTGCTCTCAACAGCCTCTCTGACATGGCCTCAGAGGCGATTTGGAGACTACAAATGCCTTCATGTGCACACACAAACACACCCTGGCACACACCTTCCTTGATCCCCATTGCTGTAGCACCCACACAACTTCCAACCACCCCATGGCAATTAGAGGGAAGACACAAATAATAACAAGTTAGCCAGCTCCCTCTGCAACAGTAGCTACGGCAACCTCATGGGGTCCAAGAGTTGTGATGCTCCATTGCAGTTGGTCCCCTGGGCAGTTCCAGCACTCAAATCCCCGCAGCACTGGGAATGGGGAATTACACAGGAAATGGATTTCCTGATAATCTACAGAGGTGCCCCACTAGGTGAACCCTCTGTCATTCTGCTGATCTGTCTTTTGAAGGCTCTGAAAATTACACCAAGGACTGCCCCCTGACTGAGAGACACTTCCCTTCCTAGTTTTGGAATGCAAGTTTAGAGTAGGTTTGTACATGTTCAGTCGTTTCTGACTCTTTGTGACCCCGTGGATTGTAGCTCGCCAGTCTTCTGTCTGTGGAATTTTTCAGGCAAGAATACTGGAGTGGGTTGCCATTTCATTCTCCAGGGGATCTTCCTGACGCAGGGATTGAACCCGCATCACTTTTGTCTCCTGCCTTGGCAGGTGGACTCTTTACCACTGCCCCATAAAGGTACTTACTCTTTAGCTGAGGAAAATGGAGCAGTTCAAAGTGAGGGTTTCTTTTTATTGAAGTATGGTTGATTTACAATGATATGTGAGTGTCAAGTAAACAGCAAAGTGATTCAGTTTTATATTTTTTTCTGGTTATTTTCCATTATAGATTATTACAAGATACCAAATATAGTTCCCTGTGCTATGCAGTAAATCCTTGTTGCTTATCTATTTTATGTATAGTAGTTTGTATCTGTTAATCCCATACTCCTAATTTATCCCTTCTGCCCTTCCTTTCTCTTTTGGTAACCATAAATTTGTTTTCTATGTCTGTGAGCCTGTTTCTGTTTTGTCAATACATTCATTTGTATTATTTTTTAGATTCCACATGTAAGTGATATCATATGATATTTGTCTTCGACTTCGCTTAGTATGATAATCTCTAGGTCCATCTATGCTGCTGCAAATGGCAATGTTTCATTCTCTTTTTTAAGGTTGAGTAATTGCATTGTCTATATATACCCCAACTTCTTAAACCAATCCTCTGTTGATGGGCATGAAAATGAGGTATTTTTATTAAAAGCAAGAGGGGGCTTCCCAGGTGGCACTAGTGGTAAAGAACCTGCCTGCCAATGTAGGAGACTAAAGCAAGAGGGATGACACTCTTGAAAACAAAGAATAATTACCTTCTTGTTAGGGGTTATTGTAAAATAAATTTGAAGAGACTTCACACTTGTACTAAAAGGGGTTTTTAAATCCACAGAACGCTATGGGTTACATGGTCATGCCCCAGCAGCTGCTCAATATACTGGGGTTCCATGTCAGATTTTGTTAAGAAAAGAGTCCCTGGCTAAAAGAAGTCCCTGAAAGAAGTTTGAAACCCACTGGACCTTCTGAGGTCCCCTCCAACTCTAAGATTCTATAACTAACTTTGGAGAATTGGGAGTGATGAGGTCATGGCCTTTCTCCAAGGACTCTGAGCAAATTTATTATTTTGAGGCTTTTGAAAGTAGTGAGAAGATGTGATAATGAGCACAGGAAACAACGAGAAAGACAAATGAAAACATTTAAGTAAGTAATCCCCAAACTAGGAGGGGATGTGGGATGCCCCTCTCCCCTGGAAGACGCTTCAAATCACAACCATGAACAGAAAAACTGATATGACCCATCCTCAATGAGAACTACTCCCAACAAAGCCAGTGACCTTGATGAGAGTGTTTTCCCATCCCTCCTATGACTGAGAGCTGAAAAAAAAGGGTTAAGAACCACAGACTAAATCAATGACTGCAATATTTCTTAATGGAGAAGCTGAGGTTATTTTAAGTGAGGGCCTCAATTCCTATTGGGCATAAGGGATGAGATTTTGGGGTGAAAGCCTGAGAATGTTTGGGGTGAGGGCTAAAGCATTTGGTGTGAAGAACTGAGGTATTTGTAATAGCTATGGTCTGAGATGCTGAGCTTGGAGCTCAGAATTTCAGGTGAGTTGTAGGAGTGAGTTTCAGGTGAGTTATGAGGAGTCAAAATAATTGGAGTGAGGGGCTGAGGGGTCAGCAGGGAGGAACTGCCTTCTATTTTCCAGCTAGAGGGTTGGTTCTGAAAGGCAGTCGGATTCTGCCTTCGGATCCTGCAAGTCCAGGTCAGGGCTCCCTTGGCCTCTCAGCCACTCCACCCTCCACTATCCCCCATAGACTGTGTGTTCCTTGAGGACAGAGGGTATCAGATCTTTCTCCCTTGTATCCTCAACTCCTAGCACAAAGCCTGGCATATAGTAGGTGCTCAACAGGTATTTGTGGAACGAATGAAGTATTGGGGCAAGGGGCTGAGATAGTTGGGATGAAGAGGGGGCACTGGTAGAAAGGTGACAGGGTTGTCATCACAGAAAAAAGGGAGGAACTGAGGTGAGGGGCTGGCTGCCTGCATCAGCAAGTATGGCGTGGGCATGAATAGTGGCATGTGGGGCCCCCTGGTGGGCAGACCTGAGGTGCACGGGTGCTTGGAGGGAAAGAGAAGCCAGAGAAGACAATAAAAGTTAGAGTTCTCTGTAACATTTGGGGGAGAGCTTGCTACACAGAAGAC